CTTTACGGAGTATCCTTTTGTATAAGACCGAAGAAAAGACGGGATCCGTGTATATTTTTCTGTCTCTTCGCATGACCAAATGAAATTCACAAAAACTTTCATGCCTGATCCAGACAGAGTTTGCCTACTGTGAAGACTCAAAACCAAAACCCATTGTTTGTTTTCGACATACATACACCGCTAAGTTAATTTGTAATTTTAAACAAAGAACCCATGTGTTATGTTGAGCAAACAAGTCTGATGTATTCACATTTACAAAATAACTGAGAGGGTACGCAAGCTCTGATTGGTAAAAAAGCCCATCGTTGACTGCGTTGGTTATTTTATAAATGCAATAGACCGAGCTTCACAATGAGTACCTGAATGTTCTTTACATATATTTACTAGCATAATAACCTGCGTAGGAAAATAGGGGAACACGAGAAAATCTTAAAAATCACTTGTCTTTGCCTCGTAATAATTAAAATGCGGTCTGTCGTCATTCTCTTGCCGTATAATCTCTACACCACGGAAGAGTATATCAGAACAACAAGCCTGAAAATAAGCGATCGTAGATGTTATCTTTGTAAGGATTCGCATTGCAACTAATCAAGGGAAGTGGAGACTAAGTAATGCTGATGCTTTTAAACTTTAAATTCCATTAAACCATTGTCAAGTTTAGCCATAACAAATTCTTTTTTAATGAATTTCTCGAAAAGATAATTTAAAACAAGCCTTCAGCCTAGACTTCATCATGGACCAAATCATGAATTTGCCTAATTTGTGGTTACCGTAACGTAAACACGGTATCTGTATCGTTTTAATGCACAAGCATATCGAATGATCTCAAAAGCAACGGCCGACAAAAACAAAACGATCTAACCGCACTCAGTTAGCTTTTAAATCGTTTATAAGAGGATCTTTCTGCATACACCTGCAAGACCCCTGTGGTCTGAGGTATTAATTCACAGGTGCAGAGGGTGGGGGGCCATGTGTGACATAGGGTAAGACATGGAAGTTGACGCGAATAATGAGACATTTTCATCATTCCCAAAAAAAGAAGGAAGAAATAAATTCAGCGATTAAACGCAGGAAAGGATGCCAATTAAGGCTTTTACTACCTGAAGTGTTGTGTTGTGAAGACATGGAAGTTGACGCGAATACTGCTACATTTTCATCATTCCCAAAAAAAAAAAGGAAGAAATAAATTCAGCGATTAAACGCAGGAAAAGATGCCAATTTAAGGGCTTTTACTCCCTGAAGTGTTTAGCTTTGACTTATCCTTGGGATTTCAATAAATTTTCCTGCGAAAAGATTTTGTAAATGGACAAGTTTATCACGAGTTTTAACGTCAAATTCTTTGTCAAATTTACAAGGTAACGTAGGCAGTCAGAAGAGACATTCACCGAGCGGACATTTGAGGTCAAAAGGTTCATCGAAACACTAATAGTCGAAGTGTTCACACGTCGGGGTTCCATTCTACACGCTTCAATATATTTTTCTCACCACTCTCATTGACAAAGACAAGATCAATGAAATCAGCAGAATTTGGCTACTTCTGTAAAGTCATAACTTAAGAGAAGCTCTGAAGTCTAAACAGTGTGTGCAATAAAACCAAGGCAAAAGCAGTAGGATCAAAAGACACCTCCCACCTTCTAGACTTTAAGATGTGGGGGGGCAACAACGAAGAATTCCTTCCGTCTGGCGTTCAGAAATTAAAACAATACTTCTAAGTCTGCAACGCAAGGTCTGCTTGTCATTAACAATTCATAGACCTTTTTAATTTTTTTCCCTTTTCGACTAGTGGAACTTTACAGAAAAAGTTAACCTAAGTATTGCTGGACAGCGACGTACACTGTAATGACAAAATATTCATTAAGTTAAGTTAAGACACTAAATGGAACAACTAGAACTAACTTTAGTATTGAGTTAACCGTCCACATTCTTTATAAGAAACAATATTCTAGTCCATTCATATTTTAATAACATATCTGCCCTTCAAGGACGTACACTTCTCATGAGCAGCCTAACAACAATATTCTGTTTTATGGCACGCCTTATCAGAAAACACATTACCTTCCGCACATAAAAACCGTTATGCGAAAATGCAATCACCCCCTCGGTTTACATTCGTAAGGATTCGTCAGCTCCAAAAGCTGACCGACGAGAAGACATTACCACCAAGCCGAAAATTGGGTGCATCAGCAAGGATGCTTGAGAACTGCTATGGAAAGGAAACCCGTCTCTCCAACAAAATGGAATTTTCCCTCAAAATTTTGGGGCGTTGACTGTCATATCTATATAGGAATGATAGGTCAAAATGTTCGCAGACATTTCTTTACCTTTCTTAGTTCTCGAAGCCAAAAAAGTGAATAAGTAAAGGACTATTAACACATTGCTACACTAACAAGCAACAAAGTTAAAGAAATTGTGTTTTGTTCTTTGTTTTCTTTCCTATTTCAAGTCGAGAGTTTCCATCGATACATTAGAAAAGACACTGGTAAACACCAAGAAGAAAAACATATTCTCCATCAGTGCTTATCTGCCACAAACCAATCATAGAAATAAATAAATAAATATTCCACTAGCGAGCTCTCTTTAAGTGATCGAAACTCTGCTCTTTAAATCACCATTTGATTCGAAGGAAAAAGAAAAGGGATGAATTCTCTCTGTAAGGTTGTCTTTGTAGACAATGAAACAACTTTCGATCTAAAAAACTTACCCTAAGATATACAACAAATCGTGCATCGACAAAAATTATCTATAACTGCTCCTCTTAGAAGGCTAAATGCGCCGATTCAAATCTGCCAAGAACCTAGCTTTTGACTGCCCGCGTCAAAAGAGGTCAGCTGTGCTCAATAAACTTGACATGCTCGGCCCAATCTATGCGTGTAACTATGGAGAAAGCAGCTTTCTCTTGATTGGCTGGCTTGTCAGTGAAGAAAAGTGTTAAGAGAGTAAATATCTTAAAAGGAAGTTATCACGAGTTTAACCAAGATACGAGACGAAACTTACATTCCTCTATGGGAAAGGAAGAATAAAACTCAACACTAAAACAATTCAAATGAAATCTATTCTCCCGAAGATCCTTGAGCAGGGTCGCACTGGAGTAGGCGCACGATCGATGGATCACTCTTGGCCCCTTCGATGAACTCGGCTAGAGATAGCTTTCCATCCAAATTTTTATCCATTTGCTTAAAAATCTTCTCAGTCCGTTTTTCTGGCGTGCTCTCATCTTCGGGCATTTTCATAACAGAGCCCACCATCTTGTAGATGGCCTTGACGATTTCCAGCATCTCTTGTCTGGAGATGAAACCGTTACCATCCAAATCGTACATGCTAAAAGCCCACTTAAGCTTCTGCTCGAGTTTTCCGCGCGACGTCACGGACAGAGCGCAGATGAACTCACGGAAGTCGATGGTGCCGTCGCCATTGCTATCGAACGTGCGGAATACGTGCTCTGCGAACTTGGATGCGTCACCATACGGGAAGAAGTTACCATAGATTTTCTTGAACTCTTCCACAGAGAGATAACCGCTCGGGCAATCCTTGAGGAAGCCCTTGTACCATTCCTGTAGCTCATGCTCATTAAACTCCGTGTTCTCTTTAAGATCCGCCAATACTTCGGGCTTGAGTTTGCTGTTTTGTTTGCCCATTGTTCACGCGCGAAACCTGTAAAAGGGTGGAGGGCAACTGAGTTAAACCAGTACATCATCAAATGTGAGAGAGTCACACAAGAGCAGTACAGGTGAACAGGCGAATCCCACGCATCTTGGATGGTTGGTGCACGTCAGCGGTGAGTTGGGTTAGTAAGAGAGCAGATGAAGTTGACGGCGTCAGTAATTATGGTCAGACTTTGTTGAAGTGAGAAGAAAAGTGTTTGTTACCCGTGCACCCAGCAGTGACACTTGACTTTCAAGCTTAGGTACGAGGGTTAATTTGATCACGATTACAACCGCTGTTAAAAGTTAGTTACACTCTCATTTATTGTTCCTTTTATGTTCTGTATATTTCATTTGTCAGAAAAATTCTAGCACAAAGTTGTTTAAAGGAACAGTCCTTACATCACCTGAGCAAAGCCACTAAACTCGTCGAGTATTTCAAATCAGCGGAAGTATGAAAAAATAAAGTTTGATAAAACCCAAGAAGTCTTATGCGGTACTTTGCTTTCTTTTAACTCAAAACTAAAAAAAACAAAAAATTTTTTAATGAAACCCTGGTGTGCAACCATTCAAATGACAACTTAAGTCAACTTGATATTCGACAGAAAAAAAAAATGACCTAGTTACATTTAACCTTAACCCTTAGACCTTAAGAGTGATAAGCATCTAATTTCTCCGTACAATATCACACCTGAATCAAACATTTAAGTCATGAGAATAAGTGAAGTGATCATAAACAAAAGAAGCTCTTAATTGTGAAACAAATTCTTTTTATCAGCACCGTAGGAAATGTAAAGAGAACGGTATAAAGGATATGCAAACTCATGTTTGGGTGTTGCCGTGCAACACTAAATGGTAATTAAAAATCTTGGATTATCCAATCTTTTACAACCTTTGTCCTTGGTTGCCCAAATTGAGAGAGATTAGGAAACGTTCACTGCTGGAAAGTTAATATAGTAAAAGTTGGTGAGGTTATTTACCAGTGCTTGTGCAAAGATTGAAGGAAGAATCACACCATAGAGGATAGTGAGTAATCAATTACAAGTAACAAATAAATCCCCAAGTGCTTGAGAAAATGCACAACAACAAATAAGGAAGTACTTCAATACATGTTTGCAATATAAACAGTCTGTAATTGGCATCAACATTCAGTTAATAAAGAGCTGACTTTGAAGCTTGTGTCCAAAGTAACTCAACAATTACAAATACGTTTTTGTTTTCACCCCTTAAGGAGTCAAAACAAAAGAGGACAATCCTAAAATAAGTATTAAATAAATATTACAGCACAACTGCAAAAACAAAACAGTGTATGTCAGATTAACATTATTGCAGTAACTTATGGAAAGAGAAAAAAACGAATTACATGTTTCTGTAGTGCTTTATTTCATAAATCCACATTTACAAGCCACAAATAAGTTGGTGAAAACAAATTTTCAACAATTTTCTGAAGCTCCGAAGGTATTCAGAGTGTGGAGCTCTCTTTTTTCTTATTAATTAACACATGACATGTTAAGTATGCTGGTCCATTTTCACTAATGCTTAGACTCCAATACATAACATTATTTCCCGAGGTACACAGCAGGAACATGAATTAAATACATGCATAAAATAAATAGTAATTGAAAAAAATCAACCTCATAACACAATTCACAATGTCTATCTTCCCCCTCTTTAAAAAAGGCTGTCATTATATAAATCAAATACAATTTTCTTTTGAGAGTTATGTACACTTGTAACTCAGATATCAGCATTATGACTGAAATTATAGTAAGTATAAATAGTAATTTATCGATGTTCTAAATACCCACTGCTAAAAGAGGAAACTTATAGCAAGAGAACTAGCAAGCAAGATATAGGTATTCTACACTACAGTGGCATCAAGCATATATTCAAGTTGCATTTTGAATTATAATACTTTTTTATCGGTTACATTTCTGTATTCATCCTACAGGTGGTTGAGGTGTGGAAGTTGTGGCATCACACTGCAGGAGACGCACAATGGATGGGTCATTCTTGGCCCCAGCAATGAACTCTTCAAGAGAAAGTTTTCCATCACTGTTTGTATCCATTTGATTAAAAATCTTGTCAGTACGTTTCTCTGGTGTACTTTCATCATCTGGCATTTTCATAACAGTGCCTACCATCTTATAAATAGCCTTGACTATTTCCAACATTTCTTCCCTAGAAATGTAACCATTACCATCCATGTCATACATGCTGAAAGCCCATTTTAATTTGTCATCCAGCTTTCCACGAGATGTCACCGACAGTGCAACCATGAATTCACGGAAATCAATATTGCCATCATCATTCTTGTCAAATGTACGAAACACATGCTCAGCAAACCTAGATGCATCTCCATAAGGGAAGAAATTGCCATAGATTTTCTTGAACTCTTCTACAGTGAGATGTCCAGTAGGGCAGTCCTTCAAAAATCCCTTATACCACTCTTTGAGTTCCCCCTCAGAGAACTCTGTTTCTTCTTTTAAGTCAGCTAACACTTCTGGTTTGAGCTTACTGTTCTGTTTGCCCATTATTTACTCTAAAGGCACAGAAATAAATAAGTGTTAGCCTTAAAATATAAATCAAGAAATCACAATCACCAACTTCTCGTCAAATTTTCGGTCACAGCAATTAAAATAAAGCATTATAATAATTTTCATCTCACTGTGAAAACCACAGACACTTTGATTTGGTACTGATAGGTTATTATTATGTTCTGATCAATCACAAGGATGTTTAGAACATGCAAGCAAACCTTAAAAATCCACAAACTGATTATTGTTGCTGATTGCAGTTTGGTTATCTTATGTCTGATAGGTTTTTTCCTTTAAATGCAATAACATTTTATAAACAGTTATTGAGTTCAAGGCTGACTGAGTTTTAAAGCAAAGCTATTCCAGAGAATTTAAACTTAACAAGTTATAATTTAACATTTGTCTTCCAATGTATTTAGTTCAGTTGTATATTAGAGCCTTCTAACAGCAGTCTACTGCCGGTCTTTTTTAGGTAATAAGATCAACTAGCTGTGCATCACTTAAAGCAGCATACTTCAATGTGATCCACATTGGAAATGGCTAAAATGTCAAACAAATGACAATACAAAAATATCATCAATTTTTACCATGATAGGTGACCACAACCTTTTAAGTACAATTATACCAATGTTTCACACAGAAAATTAGCTTAGCCTTCTAAATGTCCTTAAAATCAAATCAATCAGTATTCATAATTCAAAAGGCTCCACAGCAAATTCTATTGTAGCATTGTCAAACAATTTCAGTGCAAATGATTCCAAAAATAGATAACATTGTTAGTGAAGGTATATCTCCAAAATAGGAAGTTCAATCCTAATTAATAATTTATGCAAACTTAATTAAATGGACACAATTCCTAGTGTGGCAGGTAGACAGCTTAAGAAAAACAAAACATTCAAGTTTCTAAAAAAGAGAATTATGACATCAACAATTATAGCTGTATGTGAAACAAAAACATTCATTTGTCTCCAAAATAGGAGACTACTTTATTAAATTCTTTTCAAAGACTCTCTAATCTGAAAATTTAAAGATTAAAGTAGCAGATATTATGAGGATAATCATTGTCTTGCATAGCTGAACATTTTTTTGAAAAAAATTGGTTACTTGAGCAGAACATCAAGGAAATTACTGAATCAATCTTCTTGCTATAAATTTGATGGCAGACCTTCACTAATTATTACAAAAAGTAATTTATGGAAAAAATAAGTGCTTACAGAAAAGGCCTAGGAAAACACTGTAAGTTTTGTTTTGGGGGGAAAACAATATAGTCTGCTACTCTTTTATTAGTTAGTACTTGGTTGCTAGTATTTATGACTACTTCAAGTATAAACTAGAAAATCAAAAAAGAATTTGTGCTACAATATCAATATCAAATCTCATAAATTATGACTGTAATGTCTTCAGTTGGTTTTATTTTGCAACTATAAAGGTGATAGAGCCTTGCCAGTTATTTATATAATATCAAACTTATCAAACAATTTAAAATGCATGTATATTAGATCCATGAAAACAAATATAGGAAAATTTTGTCTCATGATAGGACGGCGAAAGAACATGCAAAACTTTGGGAACTTGATTTTATACAGGCAACAGCACTTGGGTAATTCTACAACATTTTAGACGGACACATGTACCAACAAATATTTTTAAACTCTAAGTACGAATTTACATTCAGCAACTCAAATTTTTAAAATTACTTCAAGATTAGACATTTAATTTCATGATGACAGTCTACACTAGGCCATCTTATATTGATGTCGTTTGCCAAAAATACAAGTTAAAGCTAATCTAGACAGCAAATTTTTATGAAAAGTGTTATTTTTATGAGTTAAATTTTTTGTTTTCCTGATCAACCCCAACTTTTCCCCTTTGATGCTTCTTATGGTGCACAAGAACCATCTCCAAAAGCAACATGTGAAAAAATTGAAAAATAATAGCGTATGCAGTTATGATTGCTGGTTAAGAAAAACAAATATGTTAGATAGAGATGCAAATAAAAGAAAAATAAATAAAGTAAACAAATGAATGTGTAGTACATACCATAAACTGTTGTGACAAGTGGAGTTTTATAACAATTGCTCCAGAGAAATACTGCCCAACAAAGTCCAAGTGCTCCAAGTGAGGTCTCAGTATTCTTCAATAGATATTCACGTCGTGTGCTGATAAGTACTCTGTCAGTTGTACACTTTCTAACACCCTCAAATAATTAGCCTCCGCAAAAACCAATGCAAGAAGATTGCAGCATTGTTGGAGTTGGTTGATAACACAAGTAGTGATTAAATCAAAATGAAATCAAAGAAAAGGAACAAAAACAAACAAAAATGTGACGATGGAGTGCTAATAAGACATACACTTAACAAGTTTTGTAATACTAGTTGAAAGTCCAGGCAACTGCTAAATTCCCTTCTCTTCATTCTTTTAAATCATTTACTTTTCCAACATTTTTCCATCAAACCTACCAGAATTTTGTGGTAACTGAAAAGCTCCAAATGGGGAAAGATGGATATCTCCTAAAAAAATACTCTACTGAGAGAATAGCCAGGATACAACAAAGAACATTCTAAAATCACTTTTTTGTTGCTATTGACAACACAAATGAAGCATTTGGCAGGCAACAGGGTCTTGATTTTGACTTGACATAAAAAGACAGAGAAACAGAAAATAACTGACCCTCATTCCTGCATTCCAAGAGTTTTTACCATTAGCGGATATGTTATTACTTCAAAGACTAACATTCATTGAAGAGCAGTCTTACCCACAATTCAGATTTGACTGCGCCATTTTTAAAATAAAAGAATTCTATGAATCTTTTCACTAAACACCTTCAAATAGCATTCATTATCAGACCTGCCCTTTAACATGAAGCACTGCTATACTTTCAACTTCAAAAAATACCTGCTTGTTCCAATAACCTCATAAACAAAAAAAGACAAGTTTGGATGGGAAGGGGGGTTGGGGGGGGAAAGGGGGGGAAGAAGGGGGTATGTGCAGAATCTGATAATAGCTTCTTTTACAGACTATACCATTCTTTTTCTGCATTCCTTGCATTTTCGAACAAGGAAGAGCTAGTCATGGACCTAGTTTTAGATGGCCTTAATATGTCAAGAGTAGTGGTTATCAGTTAGTTTGCAGATATTGATAACACAATAGCATAATAAACATTTTCCTCAGGGAATGCATGAGAAAAAAATTCTCCATAAATGCATGTCACTAGCTTGGAGAAAGTTGGATAATTTGTATTTCTTTTATCAACTCTACTTTGCAAAATTAATGGTAACTAACTCTGTACCATGAAAAATTTTCAGACAGGAAATAGCCAAATATTTGACCCTTTCTATATTTAAATTAACTTTCACCTAGATAAACTGCACTTTTGGTTAAGAGAATACCAACAAAGGAAGACTCTGTAATGTTATTCAAATGCTAATTCATATGTGGAAACACTTAAGCCAGGCAATTTATTTCTCTTTTGAGACCATAATCTTTTGACTTTCAAAATTAAGTTTCTTAATGATAATTAAGTGAGAGCAGCAATAATTACTATAGAATAAAAGACAAAGTGAGATGACAGAAGTAGAAACCATCCTACCTTTTGGGAAAAAACTCACCCACACTCATAACCACAAATAAACCTTACTACATGTCAAACATATTCAGGTCCCAATGTCATCTTTTGTTTAATCTAAAATAGATTAAATCTTCTAACTATTTTCTTACAAACAGGGATGTGTTCACTCACAAGACAACCTCAGAGAAAGTCACAATTTTAGATGAAGTCCTTTACCCAAGGAAACAAATTTAGAGCACAAGGTTCAAGGAAACCAAGGTGTCACACCTTGATGGCCATAATATATGTCCTCCACCACCCATTGATGTCAGATATAAAAAAATTATCTGTTTAAAGCAAAATGAAAGACAGATTGGGAACCCAATAACAAAAGAATTAGGAGCCATCAGCAGACACACAAAACCAAAAAGAGATCAAGTTGAAACCTGCTGCTATATATTTCATCTGGAAAAAAACCATGACAACTTTGGAATATAACACATAGCTTATAATAATATTCTTTTGTGGTGAACCTATTTTTGAGGTCAGCAGGGAGGTAAAACTCATAAAATGAAAAAGATTTAGGTAACATTTTCTTTTCTTGAACACGATAAAAACCATACAGTATTATAGTGATTCGTACGTGCCCTTTGCTAAGTTTCATCTCCAAGAAGTGTGGAAATTGCACACGGTAGGAGAAAAAGGGTCGAGGAAACATTACAGTAATAAATTATTCATATTGAAAATATCGTCCAAAACGCATAATACGTTACGTTAGGCATCGCATGTGCAAAGCACTGCTAAAGATTACCGAAAGAACCCATATCTACCTAATGGTAAAAACTCTTGCTTTGGTATTTACACAAACAATCTCTGAACGTTCCACTCGAACACATTATTAATGTTGCACATATCTGACATCCAAATTTAAGCTACTTTAGACTTTTGGCACCTGTAAGCGAGTAGGTTAGGGACTGAATAAAGCAATTTTTCGCTCCCTAATCCCTGTTAGCGCTAAACGCACTCTCTACACCTTTCCCGTTGAAACAGAGCTCTTTTCGATCATAATTTTGAATAATTCATTAGACACGGTCCAGAAGATTTAGCGTAGAAACAATACTTCGATCCCAAAAGGTACCAAGATGCCCAGAATTGTCCTGGGAGCACCTAAAGGATGCATATGCGTAGGTACAATACGAGAGCACGATTTACCAGAAACTTCTCATCTTGATGCCGCTAAGTGACTATACCACAAATCCTCAAAAATAGATCGATTTTTTACGCAATGCGTACCCTGCTACTTTTCACTAGTCAACTAGACTTTAAACGGCAATCCCAATTGATTTGCGCGCTTTACCATTGACGCTTTTGTTGAATCAAATTTCAGTATGAGAAGGGAAAACCTTCCGTTTTGGATTTAATCGAGCTACATTTCCTGCTGGAGAGCCGAACGCTTCGCATGTATAAAACATTAAACATGTCAACAAACGTAAGGAGCGCCTCGCGAACCTCTTTGTCGCGTAATTCAAACAACTCATGGTTTTGTTAGCCCATTCTCGGTGATGGAAATTTTATGCCCTTTTCTTGCCAGTAAATAAAACGCGAGAAGAGATCTGAAACAGCTGGAGGAGGGCACTGTTTGTCGTTTGAATACCCTTCGAAGGGAACAAGCGCTCAAGCACCCAAATCCTATCATCTCATCTTAAGCTATACATTCAAAAGCGAATTTAGCCTTGACGATTCGCGGCAAAATACCTCAATTAGTCGGGAAAAAAAAAATACAAATTTGCTTCGCTGACTTCCACTCGCTCGTTGAAGGCAATCAGGTCGGCTCGTAAGGAAATGGTGTGTGCAGGTGGCTAAAGTGCTGCCAGAAGTCGCTTGATTTAACAACAAACATTAGGTTTTGCGTAAAGGAAAATTGAGCAAGAATGCCCAATTTTTGCAAAATAGGGTTGGTTTAAAATACTTCTACCTCTAGAAAGTGGCAAATAAAACTGTTCTTAGTTGTCTGAGATTAAAATAACCGAGAAATTACTCACCTAAAGAACGCACCTTCTACCAAACCGACTTTGCGTACAGATTACAGCCACAAACGAAGGTAAGACCGTGACTCTATGACGTCACAGAGAATTTGACGCATGCGTGTAAAACGGCAATCTCGCGCGATGGAAGAATCACGCGAAAGATGGCAGTCAAGCGAAAAAGAACGAAAACTTTACGATGCTGTAATCTGAACATTCAAAAGCAAAGCTTTCCCGTTAAACAATAGGGGATTTTATTAGTAAGAGCAGCATTAAATTATGTTTTAGAAATCGTGCAGTTGACAATTCCAAATGTTTAACTCATTCATAGATTTTGACAAACAACAATATTAAGGGCGATCAAAAATAAAGTCTCCATAGAAATTCTCCTGCAGGCATTTCGTTTCGATTGAAGCCTCCAGCCTCCTTACAAGTCAATTAGTTGCAGACGAACAAACTTAGGAAGAATTCCCATCAGCTTTGTAAAAATTGGGGTGAATTTCGTTCGACTTCTATTGTTTATGTACAAATAAAGAGTCACTGTTCAATTTTTATTTCGGGTTTTTTAAAAGTATCACTGATAAGCATCCATCTGGTTTTGTTTCAGTTTATAATTAAGGCAAGCTATAAACATGATAAAATACTCGCTACACGACTCCTGAAGTAAATCTATGATAAAGAACTTTTTTTTTTACATTGTGCAGTGTGCGATCGAAATTGAAATGTAGACGAGTCGTACATTTACAACAAAAATTAAATTACCTTTTTCATCGGTTGTGTTTGTTAATTTTTAAAAGGAGTTCACTTCACTCAAAGTATGTGATTAAAACATGTTCGCGTTGTCTGCACGTTTGCCTCGATCTAATATTGAAAATGACCACCTGGCCAGCTCCAAAAAGGTAATCTGCGATCTGTTTTTGTCGTCAACAAAGAAAATATTGTTATGCCTGGAGGTCTGTCAAATATTAAAATTTGTCGAAAACGGACAAAAAGAGGAAATTCAGTTATCAGATTACTGTGCGATTTTCGCTTTTACATCGGCTGATCAGCGAAATGATACTCAAGGGAGGAAAAAGGAAACGATTTCTATTAGAACTTGGCTAGCAAGATTGGCTAGCGGTAGGGCACTGTCTGCAAGACTCGTTCGTGCAATATTTGATGACCCCGAGGGAAAATCTTGTCGTTCGCCCACTCCTGCCCGCCCAACAACAAAAAATATTGTATAGGTTAAATTCCTTGTGGCTTCCACCGATTTAAGAAGCTTTGGACTAAGGACTAACGGAAAATTCACTTGATGGAGTAGAAACAAATCGGTATTTAAGTGAAGACGGATGTATACACATAAGTCTGTAAATACATTTTATCGTGAATTCATTTCTGTTTTAATCATTATTAAATGCAAATTCGCAAGCACTTAGAAGTTATCTACGTTTGGTGTCAAATATGCATTTGCGCAAATTTTTTGTAAGATTTTATCGAGAAAGGTGCTGAGGTAATTAATTTTGGAATTGAAGAGACCTTGAGCATATTTAATTAATACGTGTGTGTGTCAAACCGTGGCACGTAGAAACTTCTATCAAATTCGCGTAGGAGCGAATTTTTTCCCGCAAAGCTTTCTCCATAAAGCAGAGAAACGATTCAATTTAAAGAGAGATCAGTATGAGATGCAAAGTTAATTACACTCTGTTAATTAAAACGGAGAGAGAGTCATTTATTTGGAAAATAAACACAATTGGGAGTTTTCTCAGTAAGTGTTGTTGGAGAAAAAATATCCTGCCTTGTTAAAGAGATACCGGCAAGTTTCTCACAACTTAATTGGGCTAAATTTAGAGGCAATCACCGTGTTAGAATTAAAATATTTAAATGCAAACAATACTCGGACTATGATAAATTTCAACCCTTTCCAAAGTTTGTTTCCTTTAAAAGTGTTTTTAGAACATTGAATGACGTTTGAATGACGTGAGGAAGACTAAAAGGAGTTTCCAGATTGCTTTGATTTTCCCAAGTTGACGTCAGAGAACGCCTCTCGTATCTCTTTTTACGTTCCTAAATGTCAGCAAATGTTTTCAAAACATTAGGTCAACAAATAAAGATCATTTCCCCAGCCCATTTAGTATGTTATTAATGAAAGACAGACACGCACGTTATTCGATCCAAAATTACATGAATGATACTCTCATTACTGTCATTGTAGGAAAGATCCATCATTCAAATCGGGAGGAAGCACTCAAAATAGAGCAGAGACTTTTAAATTAGGACTTACACGTAACCATCTAAAATCAGATGGAGCCCTTCAAAATCGCCCAAAACAGTCTAAAATCAGTTAGAAATTTTGACAGCTTTGAAGAAAATCGAACAGGACCGGCAAAAGTCTGGGGCAACTCTCCGAAGTCAGAGGGAACCATCCGACGTAAATCGAACGAAAATTTCGCAACCCTTAAACTCGTTGAGTGACCACGACACAATTTCTCCTTACTACATCAATATGATATCAAGCAGACGAGTGATGAGGATAAAGCAAAATATAATTCAAAGGAGTTTAGTTGATCCAAAGCCAAATTCTCCGAATTAACATCACAAAAATTATATGTTAGAGAGTGGGGAGAATTACTGATGAGATCTTGGTAGTGAAAGAATGAAATGTGACGGAAATGTCTTAATATTGGGATGGCTTTTTGTTTGTCAAACAAAAATGGAACTGTCACAAAATCTCCCTTTAGCAACTAGCTTGTTTTTTCCCCTGCATTCTGAAAAGGTCACATACATGTTCCCCCGCACATGGCACACGTTTCATGTTTCCCCACACTCAAGGTTATTATAATCTTTTCCGCCCTTTGCGCTTTGAGTCAAACGCGATTAACCTAGTCCTCGCCTTGATTAGAGTGGAATTTTAAATTTTAATACTATGTTACTTATCAATTAACTCTCTCAAAATACAAGTTTTGTCCACCGATTCCACTTTGATTAACGCGATATTCTGAAAATGTCCGTGGTAAAATACCATGTGCTAAAAGAAGATTAATTGGATTGGGTGATTAACTCTTGTTAACATAAAGCGGCTTTTTTAAGATCCGTAACTGTTTTACAAGACTATCATTCGCTTCCGATTTAGAACAAACTGGCGAATAAAAAATTAACGGACGGCGACAAAAAAACCCATCTATGATATCAGAGTAGCTTGTTCCAGGCCCTTAGTCAATGGAGGGAGAGGTAGTCGCTCTTGCACTGATGGGGTGGGCGATAGACTAACAGCGATTAGTCGTAAAGTTGTGTGGGAAACGGGTGCGTGCGCTCGCTTTTTCGCTCGTCTCGGCTGACCGCAGGCCTGCCTTAAGTTAATATCGAAAGAAAAACGAAATAGCAGTTGAGAGCACCACTGAAATGAGTGAGAGAAGTTTAATCGCAGTCGGCGTTCAGGGTCCGTAATACTTTCTTAGCTTATTCATTCCCATTGTTGAGTAACTAAACATAATTTCGAGTGCAACAACAGTTTCGAGAATGTTTGTAGTTTCTCGCCGATCTGATCCCGATGTGTTCCGAAAGGGCAACGAAGGTGTTTCGGAGTTAAGAGTAGTGCAAGTGTCAAGCTATCTTCAGGAAGGAGGTATTAAACCCATCTCCTCGATGTTTGGCAACCAGTTCTAGAAGTTTTTGCTTCTTCTGCATGCTGTGGGATGATTCAAGTTCGTAAATGGCACAGAGGTTAAAGAGTAGCCCTTCCTGAAGATTTGTTTCAGGGTCTTTCCAGATGATCCTCTCCAGTAAAGAAAGCGCCTGAAAAAGACAACCATAGAATAAAAAAGGATTGAACTATCTTCAGTTACAGGAAAACACCTCTTTGCATAACTTTCTGAGTTCTGTGATTGGATTCACTTTTGAGCTCTTCTAACAATCAAAATAAACATCATCATTTTCCCAGCCAATCAAGAGAAAAATTTCGATTATTGGTCGAGCTCTCGCCTTTCTTGCGTTTGTAGATGGCTGCCGTTTTGTATAGCTCTTCACCCAACTGTGAATATTTATTAAAACTGATTCTGTGGCAACATTGCAACTTAGGGAAAGTGGGTGCATGGCGTTGTCTGATCAAATGTCGCAACCACGCTCGTTGCCTTTAGCGTGCTCTCATTTGAACAGATTGAAAACTTTCAGGTGGCATAAACAAATTAGAATCGGCAAAATCATGCGTTTCTTGTTTCAAAACGGGAGCAACCGTGCACGTTTCGTTCGGCGACTGGAGGTTGATTACAAAATCATTTTTATCAAGTTATAATGGATTCAAGGAAATAACAGCGAATGAAAGCCATCGTTTAAGAAAACAGAGAAACATCACAGTTTTAAAACGCACTATAGCGATGTGTTTTTAGAAGGTAATAAACTAAATGGTATGTCAGACTTGCCTCTTTAAGTTTGCCAAGAAATAGCAAACAAACAGCTACATTGTTGATAGCCTGCGCACAAAAGAAAAGAAAATAACCGAAATAATCTCAAGGTTAAAAAGAAAACTACAGTAATATTTAAAACCAAGACAATAAAAATCTAAGACTGAAATGCGAGACTGGAACAGGATGCAAAAGACTGAGGCCAAAATGAAATTCGCTCTAGTAGTTTCTAAAAGTTCATACGAACACTTACCACAGAACTATATGGATCTAGTTTAGTAGCAGCTACAAAATGTCTGTGAGCTTCATCGTATGATCCTGCAGATAACGCAAGCAAGCCTCTGTTCGGGAAAAAGAAGAGCTTTGAGACAGCAACAATAACCTCTCCCACTTTGGAAGGAATTAACTGTGTTTGTTCATTCAACGCTTGGAATTAAACCGTTTTTTTCCTCGAAAGTTCTCATCTTCTTTGTTTGTTCTGTGTCTTAACTCTTTTTTTCTCCAAGGGTAAGCATCTTATTTCTCCCAACAGAGTTATTGTGGGTGGTTATGGTCATAAGAATGAAAGGAAATGATCGCAAACTTAAGAATCCCTTGATTGTTGGACAAATTCTCCTTGTAAGCAGCATAAGAAATTTATAAAAAACAGTACCGAGAGCAAAAAGATAATGATCGAGTCGTCTATGCAACTTCACCATTCTAAACTTTACTAACGCGGATCACCTACACCTATCAAACTCTGGTTGAAAATCAACTTTTCCCGCCGACACAGCACAAAAGTATCATTCACAAGCAGGACTTCCCGACGGAGCGAGAAACGAAGGGAGACCAGAATTAAACTAGTACCAAAAAAATTCCAAAGTGAGCACCTACTTATTCATGACTACACTACTAAGTGAGTTTGGGTCACCAGTTGCTTTTGATTCCACCTGCTTGAAATAACTCTGTGCCGTTTCCAAGTCTCCAAGCTGTAAACAAACATCATATAAGGTAACATCCAACAGTTTCGAGATTAAAAAGAATTTCTCAAGTTTTGTTTCAATACATTCTGTGATCGCTCAAGAAACTCGCGGATCATCTCATCCAATTGAGTGAAAAGACCTGGTAGCGACTTCGTCACTCACGTTTTCCCGCGGTTAAGTCTACAGACTATCCCGCCTTTTTCTCATTGGCTACTTGTGGTTGTTGTTTGATCTAATAGGCTGGTACTACTTAGGTTTAATTTCATAGACACTCGGTAATTGGTTAAGTAAACCAGTGCACCCTCTCAGCCAATCGGATGAAAAACTTTTAACGGTGCGACGCGGTCGCCAACGTTTTCCCGCGGTTCAGTGAGTTTGCTAAAGAGCCATTGTGATTACATCGGAATACTCTACTGAAATGAGTCTAAGGTTACAGCCTTAAATATGAAAGAAAAATAATACTTCACATGGCTTACCTGTAAGTAGATTCTTCCTATCCCAGATAACAAGTTGAATTCACATGAAGGATCTTTATCCATAATAGACTTGAACACTGTCACAGCTAAACTGTAATCCTGCCGGTTTTAAAATATTGTAAATACATAGCTAGCTCTGTTTTTTTGTCTTCTTCTTTCTTAGCTGTCCCACGATCAACCCTGGAGGCATCTCGAATAAGTGCCGCAAAACCGAAACCTTTGGAATCACAAGAACCAATCAAAGCAAAGGGAAAAAAAAACAAGCAGCCAATAAAAGCTTAAAGTTAAAACCAGCAAACTGCCTAAAGCGCGAAAAATGAGAGACTAAGATTTAAAAAAAGGAGCTACTCGATATGAATTATTTCTCCTCAACAAAAGATACAAAAGAGAAATTTAGCTCATCTTACCTTCATGCCAAGAAAACAGTTTCCTATCGAATAAAGAACGCGCACCTCTCTGGTGATCCACAATTCAATAGCAGCTGAAAAAATCGAACTCACAAAATTACTAAATGACTTGTTTCTGTTATTGGGCGCTTTTACATTACGTGTAGCAATAACGAAACCAAAGTAACCACATAGGCGCTTCTGCGCAGAGGTGGTTGTTACAAGGAGCCAACGAGAACTTAACCCTTAAACCCCTTAAGTGTCTGGCTTCTAATCTCTCCTTACAGTTTCACCCTTAAATCAAATGTAAAGGTCATGAGAATATAGGAAATGATCACCAACCAAAGAAGCTCCTACATGTTAGACATGTTCTCCTTTTCAACACCTTAGGAATATGGGGAGAGCTGTATGGAGAATATAAATGCTAATGTGAGCGGAAAGGGTTTTATTTCATAGGTACTGAGATTTACCCACAAAAATCGTAGTGAATAAAATTCGTACTGATTCTAAATGTAGCCAATCAGGAGTACGAACGACAAAATTTCACCGTGAAAAATTATCGTTCGTCCAATCAGCAATGCGAACGACGAAATTTCACTAATGATGAATGAACGTACTGAAGAGAACGTCATGCGAGAGCCGTTGCACAAAACCCGCGCGCTTTGAAAAATGGCCGAGGGAAGGTTCGCTTCTGTTTACTCAGTTGAAGAATTCATTTTAGAACACGAAAACAAAAATACCGCTCAAAAAACTGAAAGAGATGTAAGATTGCTTGAAAGATTTTTGAAAACGAAGGACGAAGACAGGAAAATTGAAGATATTCTAGCGGCTGAGTTGAATGAATTCATTGGCGAATTTTTTATCTCCTAAAACTACTTTTTACGCTTTTCATCACCCCATTTGTGCTATTTGTCTACCAAAGACAACACGAAAAAATCTCAGCACCTATGAAATAAACACATTACAGCATGGGAAATGCTTTGTACGATTTTCATTCACTCGTTGATACGTATCAGAAAACTCACTCGTTCGCTGCGCTCACTCGTTCGTTTTCTGATACTACACAACTCGTGAATAAAAATCGTACGCGCGCATTTTCCATGAAGTAATCTCTATTAAAGTAATGGCTTTGAGGGCAGGAAAACACAACAAACAAAGCTGCGATTTTTCCCTCTTTTGCATCCAATTGGTTGAGAGGCTGGCGCAAGTTTTCTAGATTAATTAAAGAGCAAAGGCGCAGTGAAGTAAAACCAAATTAGTTATCCCGTATCACTTTCGACACTCAGTTTTCG